TCAAACTGTTTCCCGGACTAGAGTGCAGTGGTGCTTTCTTGGCTCACTGCAACCTCCGCCTCCTGGGTTCAAGCGATTTTCCTGCCTCAGCCTCCTGAGTAGCTGGGATTACAGGTGTTCACCAATTTTTTGTATTTTTAGTAGAGATGGCGTTTTGCTATGTTGGCCAGACTGGTCTCAAACTCCTGACCTTGTGATTTGCCCACCTCAGCCTCCCAAAGTGCTGGGATTATAGGTGTGAGCCATCATGCCTAGCCTCTAATTTTTAATCACCCTATAGTTTTGGAATAAACCTAATTTGGAAATAAGGATCTGCTTTTTGATATACTGCTTAATTTGTTTGCTAATGTTTAATGTTTCTGCTCCCTGTTGATAGGAGAAGTTTTTCTTTCTTGTAATGTTCTTTTTAAGTTTTGCTCACAACATCATGTTGGTCTCATAAAATGAGTTGATAAGTATGCCCTCTTTCTGCATTATCTGTAAATGCTTGGGTCGTATTGGTGTTATTTTTTCATAAATGTTTGGTTGAATTTTCTGTTGAAGCCGTCTGTACCTGGAATTTTTTGTGTGAGAATATTTTAAATGATGAATCCAAGTTCCTCCATAGATATAAAATTTTTTAGGTTTTCTTTCATTCTTAAAAAAAAAAAAAACCTATCACTTTGGTAAACTGTATTTTCCTTAAAATTTTTCTGTTTTATCCAACATTAATTTTTTTTTTTTTGAGTCAGAGTTTTGCTCTTGTTGCCCAGGCTGGAGTATAATGGCGTGATCTTGGCTCACTGCAACCTCCACCTCCCCAGTTGAAGCGATTCTTCTGCTTCAGTCTCCCAAGTAGCTGGGATTACAGGTGCAACCACCATGCCTGGCTAATTTTGTATTTTTAGTAGAGATGGGGTTTCACCATGTTGGCGAGGCTGGTCTCAAATTCCTGATCTCATGTGATCCACCTGCCTCGGCCTCCCAAAGTGCTCGGATTACGGGCATGAGCCATGGCGCCTGGCCTTAAAATTTTCATTAAGGATATATAGTAGTTCATCATGATCTTTTTAAAGTATATAGAATTTGTATGATGTTCTCTTTTTTACTCTAATATTGGTCAGTTTGCCTTCTCTCTTATTTCATCAATTTCACCAGGGCCCCACCAATTTCATTAGTCTCTGCAAAGAAACAATATTTGACTTTGTTGATCTTCCCTATTTTAAGTCTGTTTTCCATATTACTGATTTCTGCTCTTCCTTACTTTCTTCATTGTACTTTCTTGGGTTTGCTTTACTGATTTAAAAAACTTATTGACAGGCCGGGCGCGGTGGCTCAAGCCTGTAATCCCAGCACTTTGGGAGGCCGAGGCGGGTGGATCACGAGGTCAAGAGATCGAGACCATCCTGGTCAACATGGTGAAACCCCGTCTCTA